ACTTGTTAGAACAACTTTGCTACAAGTCTGACAATACCATCAAGCTTGTTACATGTTGTTAACAGCTTGTTCCAAACTTGTAACAAACCTGCAGCAGACTTCTAGCAATGCTGTTCCAACAACTTGTCAACAGGATGTGTTCGCACTGCTTGTTCCAAGCTTGTTGACAACTTGCTACAAGGTTGTTGAGCTGCACAGACTTGTTACAAGTTGTTCCAACAACTTGTTCTCGTCCTGCAATTCAACAATTTGTCAACAAGTTGTGAGTGACAACCTTGTAGCAACTTGATAAAATAACAGCATTTTTACAACTTGTTGACAAGCTTGCTACGAACTTGTTGCGAACACATCTTGTTGACAAGTTGTGAGATTTTTACGTGTGTGCTATACACGCGTCAGGTTGTTATAGATCTGCAAACAAGTTGCAACAAGATTGTTGTGAAGCCGATATCAGGATGTGTTCGCACTGCTTGTTCCCAGTTGTTGCGACAAGTCTGGAACAAGTTGTTATCACCTTGTTACAAGCTTGATGACGGTAACAGACTTGCTACAAGTTGTTCCAACAAGACTAATACAGGCTGTTCGTAACAAGTTGCTACGAGCTTGTTGTCATCAACTTGTTACGTGCAGACGATATCAGACTTGTTGGAACAACTTGTTGCGAGTCTGTCGGTCTCATCAACCTTGTTACAAGATGATAACAACTTGTTCCAGACTTGTCAACAACTGGGAACAAGCAATGCGAACACGTACATCCTCTTGACAAGCTGGGAGATTTTTACGCGTAAAAACGCACAAGTTGTTACAGGTCTGGAAACAAGCTTTCGACAAGCTGTGTTCGCACTGCTTGTTCCCAGTTGTTGTAACAAGTTTAGAACAAACTGTTAACAACTTGCAACAAGCTTGATGGTATTATCAGACTTGTTACAAGATTGTTCTAACAAGTCTGATACAGTCATAATATAACAAGAATGTTACAAGGTTGTTCTAACAAGTCTGTTATAGTCATGATATAACAAGAATGTTACAAGGTTGTTCTGACAAGTCTGTTACAGTCATAATATAACAAGAATGTTACAAGGTTGTTCTAACAAGTCTGTTATAGTCATGATATAACAAGGATGTTACAAGGTTGTTCTAACAATTAGTCTGATACGGTCATGATATAACAAGAATGTTACAAGGTTGTTCTAACAAGTCTGATACAGTCATGATATAACAAGAATGTTACAAGGTTGTTCTAACAATTAGTCTGTTACAGTCATGATATAACAAGAATGTGACAAGGTTGTTCAGACAAGTCTGATATAGTCATGATATAACAAGAATGTTACAAGGTTGTTCTAACAAGTCTCATACAGTCACGATATAACAAGAATGTGACAAGATTGTTCTGACAAGTCTGATATAGTCATGATATAACAAGAATGTTACAAGGTTGTTCGGACAAGTCTGATACAATGATGATATAACAAGAATGTCACAAGGTTGACTGCACAAGGTTGTAAGAATATTGTTATATCATGACTGTATCAGACTTGTCGGAACAACCTTGCAACAAGTCTGATAATATCAACAAGGTTGTTACGAGTTGTTAACAGCTTGTTCCAAATTTGTTGACAACTTGGGACAAGCAGTGCGAACACAACTTCTTGACAGCTTGTTGGCAGACTTGCTACAAGATGTGAGATTTTTACGCCCGTAGCTCACACACATATCTCATGACACAACCTTGCTATGTGTCTGATCATTTAATTTCTTGTTATGAACCGGTCCAACAAGTCTGGCTGTCAAAATGGCTGTTGCTATGAAACGGGTTGTAGCCAAAGGCGAAATATATTATCTTTTCAAAGCAATTGTAAACTGTGACCAGCTATTCGGAATAGAACCGGTTTAGCTGCATAATTACAGTTGAAATATATACATATACATATAGGTGCGCCATATAGCATCGCTTGACATTGCTGCGTCCGCTGTTTTAAAAGATAGACCATTGCTTTAAGAATATTGCTTTAAGAACATTGAAGGTTGGTTGCAATAAGTATACGTTGAAATCGGAACGTTCCAATAATAGAACGTTGAAATCTAATCGGTTCCATTCAAAACGCTGTAATTTATAGAAGGTGAGAATTGGGATTTTAAAATAAGAGCGTCGCAATTAGAACGCTGAATTTAGAACGTTGCAATTAGACTCTCTCGATTAGAACGATGGATTCAGAAGGTTGCTTTGAATTAAGAGCGTTAGAAACAACACCTTTATAGCGTTAGAAAGAAGCCTAGAATATAAGAGCGATAGAATTCGAATCTTGAAATTATACCGAATGCTATAAATGGAACCGATTGGAGATAGAGTTAGAACTATAAGAGCGTTCAAATTATTAGAACGATGCATGGAATTCGAACGTGGCAAATGAAGTGTTGAATTCGAATCTTGAAATTTATATACAGAATGTTGATATAAATGCATGGATGTTGCGTATATAGATCTTAGAACTAAGAACGTTCCAATTCCAGAACGATGCACGGAATTATAGAGCGTGGGAATGCCAATGGAATGTTGAATTCGAATCTTGAAATTCATATATATAGAATGTTATAAATATGGAACGTTCCAAATATATACATATAGATCTTACGTTCGAATTAGAACGAAAAACAACCTTCCAACTGGAAAGTTGCACCTAGAATGTTGAAATTATATAACGTTCCATTTTGAACGTTTCAATAATTTTACAAATTCTAAAGTGCCAGCACTTGGCTAGAGGATGTGACGAAAATAGGCACTTGAAACAGACGCTCGAGTATTCTTGTATAACAACTTGAAGCTTGCTTGAAAATTGATTGTAGCGATTGGTAAAAAGGTTATATCGATTAACGTTTTCGATATTTTTATGTGAAATACTTTAACTTTACCTACAAATTCACATCAATTTTAAGGTGGGTATGTTTTAGCTTGCGTGACTATTAAATATAATTTCAGGCTAACTATAAAAAATTGAATACAATTGAGAAAGACCCCCCGAGTCTTTGCGCGACGCGTCTAGTGCGAAACCTGCTCTTAATTGAAGCTGAAGCGGTTTAAAAGGACGCTTAATTATACACAAAAATTTTCAAGTTAATAATTCGAAGGATTTCTTTATACCACCCAACGAACAAGAAAATGGTTGCCATTCTTTGAAGAATACACTACATGAATGCTGGACCACTGCCATTGGCATTGTCTTCATTGAACACTCGAAAGATCAGACTCAACAACATGGAGACAGTTGTAGCCTAAATGAAGATTTTTCAAATATAAACTGAAAGTTAACTTCGGTCTCAGGTCTTGAAAAATAGCTTTAATTCTCAATTTCAACTATATATCGTCATATGCAGGCTATTATACAAAGTTAAGATTATCAGCCCATATATAATATGAGATTGAATTGCTCTGACATTGCTCGATTTTCAACAATAATTCATATATACAGTACGTAACAGAGCATTTAATATAAGCATATTGTGTGATCTAAATGCGTTTGGAGACGAACGACATTTTTTAATGTCCATCTGAAATAGAGTTAATTTTATAAATATTCTTTGTAAAATATACTTTTTTTTCTTCACTTAATCATTTTACTGTATAACAATGGCTATATGCATTTAAATAATCTTTGTAAAATATACTTTTTGTTTTCTTCATTTAAATTATTTAATCATCAAGACATTTTACTTATGCAATGGCTATGCATCACAAAGCAATTATGACAGGTTTTGAAGATGGAAATTATGGAATTATTTGTCCTCTGGCGGGAATCGAGCCGGTGCAGCGCTCTAACCAACCGAGCTACAGAGAGACAGTTGTTGAGCTCTAACCAACTGAGCTACAGAGAGACAGTTGTCGAGCTCTAACCAACTGAGCTACAGAGAGACAGTTGTCGAGCTCTAACCAACTGAGCTACAGAGAGACAGTTGTCGAGCTCTAACCAACTGAGCTACAGAGGGACAGTTGTCGAGCCCTAACCAACTGAGCTACAGAGAGACAGTTGTCGAGCTCTAACCAACTGAGCTACAGAGAGACAGTTGTCGAGCTTTAACCAACTGAGCTACAGAGAGACAGTTGTCGAGCTCTAACCAACTGAGCTACAGAGAGACAGTTGTCGAGCTCTAACCAACCGAGCTACAGAGAGACAGTTGTCGAGCTCTAACCAACTGAGCTACAGAGAGACAGTTGTCGAGCTCTAACCAACTGAGCTACAGAGGAGACAGTTGTCGAGCTCTAACCAACTGAGCTACAGAGAGACAGTTGTCGAGCTCTAACCAACTGAGCTATAGAGAGACAGTTGTCGAGCTCTAACCAACTGAACTACAGAGAGACAGTTGTCGAGCTCTAACCAACTGAGCTACAGAGAGACATTTGTCGAGCTCTAACCAACTGAATTACAGAGAGACAGTTGTCGAGCTCTAACCAACTGAGCTACAGAGAGACAGTTGTCGAGCTCTAACCAACTGAGCTACAGAGAGACAGTTGTCGAGCTCTAACCAACTGAGCTACAGAGAGACAGTTGTCGAGATCTAACCAACTGAGCTACAGAGAGACAGTTGTCGAGCTCTAACCAGCTGAGCTACAGAGAGACAGTTGTCGAGCTCTAATCAACTGAGCTACAGAGAGACAGTTGTCGAGCTCTAACCAACTGAGCTACAGAGAGACAGTTGTCGAGCTCTAACCAACTGAGCTACAGAGAGACAGTTGTCGAGCTCTAACCAACTGAGCTACAGAGAGACAGTTGTCGAGCTCTAACCATAAGTTCATGTCTATATACTAGGGACGGTAGGGTACTGGCTCCTGCCATGTTAGGTTATGGGCAAATATCAAGAATTTGTTGGCATCTGACTCGATTAAATAATATAGTTGAAGGGTATTGTTTTATCGAGTATAAATTTACTCGAATTATATAACGACTACAAGAGCTTTTAAGTGGCTTAAAGCACGTTTCCCAATAAGTTCCAATAGTATTCTTTATCCCAATTCCCAAAACCAATGAAATACCGTATTGTTAGAATTTGAATGCCTTAGCACTAAGCTGAATGCAAAGATGCGTAAAATATTGACAGGGTGAATATATTAAATATTGACTTATTGAGAAATTAAAATATCTTTGTGAAGCGCACGACGTTCTGCTCTTGGGAATTTAAAGCAGCTTCTTAAACAGTTTCTTTATGCATAAAATTTACTTATGTCAAGCTTTTATGACTTGCGAGTTCAGCAGCAGAGTGCCCAGACATTCAAATTATAACAATACGTTTAAATTTCAATGGTTTTTCTGGGACACCCCCATATAAAGAATATTACTAAGACGAGTTTCACCAGGTATTAAAGCCACATCACGTGACTTATTACGGCTCACATGATTTGCGAAAGAGCTTATGAATTGATCACGATGTTTATGCAGATATGCAAATTATGTTTAAGGGCAAAGTTCAGTAATAATATTGCCTCAGCAGGCTTAATATCGCATCGCATTCAAAAATCTCCATACAATTGTAAACAACGTCGAGTTCAAATGTTTCAATTTCGGCTAAAGTGGTCACAATTTGCTCAGATCTCGTGTTCTGCGTGACATATTGTTTAGCGTATATATTAATGGCATCACAATACATAATATGGAATCGCTGAATCGCATAGAATGGAATAATTTTAGCTCGATAATATATCGTACTGTATTAGCCAATCTTCTTTGGAATGCTGACAAAAATTTATCAGTATGCATTTTTCACTCAGATGACAAAATTGTGGTCAAAGGTAATTTATTTCGTAAATTTTTTATGTTATATTCATTTTGCGTTTACAAAGCAGGCTATACTAGGTTGCATGCTTATGATTGGCTATATTAAACGATGTGATTATAATATTCTAGCTTTATAGCTACATTTAAATATATTGGGACAGGGTGGTACGGTTGCTCTATGATCGGATTTCCATTCCTGCGATATATATATGTTTTCAACCGACAGTTGCATGAGAGAAGAGTGATCTTATTTGGGCAGCCAGCAACACTGGATCAATAAGAGATGATTCTTACTGGACCTCTAAGGAGAACAGTTTAAAACTGATGGAGCTATCCAGTATAAATAAAGTTAGTTTAGTTTATGTTTCCTTCTGTAGTAACACTGAATCAATCAGAGATGATCCTTACTGGACCTCTAGGTAGAACAGTTTAAAACTGATAGAGCTATCCAGTATAAATAAAGTTAGTTTAGCTTAGGTTTCCTGCTGTCGTAACACTCGATCAATAAGAGATGATCCTTACTGGATCTCTAGGAAGAACAGTTTAAAATTGATAGAGCTATCCAGTATAACTAAAGTTAGGTTAGTTTATATTTCCTGTAGCAACGCTGGATCAATAAGAGATGACTCTTACCAGACCTCTAGGAAGGACAGTTCAAAACTGATAGAACTATCCAGTATAAAAAAAATTAGTTTAGTTTAGGTTAAGTTTCCTCCTGCAGTAACACTGAATCAATAAGAGATGATCCTTACTAGAACTGATAGATACAACAATCTATATATTCTACAGTTAATTCAATAATTCAACCTTAGCCCCAACACCAATACGAAACTCCCTGTTATTTTAATTTGCATTGTAAATGCCTGTGTAAAACTCAGTAAAAGAAATCAATCAATCAATTGACCTTGAAATGAAGATGTTATCGTTTTCAAATGCAATCGGATATATTGTTTTCATCTGACATATGTCAACGTGACGTCAAAGGCGTGGAAAGGTCAAAATGCTACGTGCGCGTGGATGCTGCGAATTTAAATATTCGCCAATTATATACTTGTAGCATTATTGTTTGCAATCATTGAAAAGTATGAGGTGTGACAGTCACATTGCAACCTTTTATGAAGCACTGTCTATAAATAAAAAAATCCTGTTTAAACTTGTACGACACGTTGAACCAAAATCTTGTTTGACCGAGTTAAAATTTAATATTATACACCAAACATCGTCCAAACTTGATTGATATACAAATATACTGCAATGCCAATGGCAAAATATTTTCATGTGATGAAAATATATAGGCCCACTTTGAAAATGTCAAAGAGGCGGGAAGTTTATATTTTATATTTTATATAATTTATATATCAATAAATAAAAAATAATTCCGAACATTTAATGTTTCTGTGATTTCTATGAAGTGTCACAAACCGAAATAAACATATTAAATACATATTTCTGTCAATCTCCACGAACAATGACTGTAAAATGCAATGAAATTTCTTTCAGGATTCTGTTTGTTTGGAAGTTTAAAATGGCACGAAAAACCCAATATATATAAAATATAAAAAACTTAACTGTCTTGAATTATTTTATCGGTCGGTACATTTATATTGTATAACAAAATATAAAACATTTTCACAAGGCTCTCAAAAAATACAGTCGGGCGGTGATGGGAATCAAGGAATTTATTTTATGTGGCCATACATACATTATACATTTAGAATTACATACTATGCATTTAAAACACTCCCAATCCATGCTTTATCAGATATAAAACACTCGGCTGTCACCTCGTGTTTTATACGTCTGCCCGCGTGTTCTGTCTTGTGGAATGCAAGGATTTCAACAGTTGCGTTTTAGGAAATTGTTCAAAAAGAAGTGATTCATTTAGCTGAGAAAATCGAGGGAAAACTTTGTGCAATCATGAGAGTTTTGCGTATGTGTGGATACAATACAAGTCATTATAAACATTGATTTCTTTTCAACTTTCTTCAAGAATTATTAATAATAATATATTTAGTGCCGTAACTACTATGGGTTCGGACCGGGCGAACCCGGGGGCCCCCAACTCCAATGGGCCAAATGCCCCCCCCCCCCCAGGCTGTGAAGCAAAAACATTGGCCACTATGCAGTGCTTCCACTTTGGCAAAGCAAAATTTCTCGTTTTTGTCCTTTTTTTTCGCAAAATTTCCTTCCCAAAATCCTAAATTTCCTTCCATTTTTCCTTCCAATCTCAGTTTAAAATAGTATAGTAAATTTTGTATTGTACTTTATTCCTATGTAAATTGAAGGTGTACTGCAGTATTTAAATAGTGAAACTCTAATATAACCTGAAACAACATGTTCTTGTCTCATTTTTTATCTGTTTTCTCGAACGACATAGTACTTAATAAACGACTTTTTTATGAATTTGCTTTTGGACCAGATACTATTCCTGCACGCTTTCTATTCCGTTTGCATTTGAAAACTCCTTGAAGCTTCATCTTTTGATGAGCCTGACTAGATGTCGACTCAATGACTAAATATGAATTTTAGAAATTACAGTTTCCCTTTTTCCGACTGTTTGTTTTTAATTTTGGATTATAAAAATTAAAAACCAGCGAAAAATTTATGTACAAGTACTCTACTCATTCACAGAAGACCTGTTAAGTCCCAAATTACCCCCATTCATCCTTGATGGTTATGTAAATATCCAAAGTATTAAATGTTTTTATAAGTCATAAATGTTTTTGAACTCAAAAGTTCATAATAAAGTGTTTAACCATTATTAAATTACTAGAAGTTACTGAAAAAGTTTAAATTGTCAAATTTCCTTCCCTTTTCCTTCAAAATGGCCGAATTTCCTTCCAATTTCCTTCCAAATCTTATTTCCTTTTATTTTTCCTTCCAAATGCTAAAATATCCTTTTGGAAGGAAATTTCCTTCCGAGTGGAAGCTCTGTTGGCCAGGGCCTTTGATATGTCACAATGTCGTTTTCTGACCATCAGAATTCTGTAAAATCTCTCCCCAAAGTCTGGGAAATGGTATTTCAGAGAGTCTAGATTCAAAAATTTTCCGGGTGGGCATGCCCTGGACCCCTAGAAACTCGTGCATATATGGCGCTCGACTCTAGGGGGCCTTCGAAAATTTTGAACCGGGGGCCCCCTGATATAACGTTACGCCACTGAATATATTAATGAATTTTAGAAATATTCTCGGCATGGCACGAATAAATACATTCATAGCATTCATTTTATATCAGTATAGTATTAATAAATAGTATTATTGAATGACTTTATATTACCTAATAATAAAATACATCATCATCAATCAATTTTATTTCAGAAAACGGGACTAGCCTCGCACAACTAAATGCCGATTTACAGGATATATTCAAGGCGTGATATGTACTATTTAAAACACGAGCAGGAGTGTTTTATCATCTGATAAAACACGACAACGAGTGTTTTGAATAGCTTAAAATACGACTACAAAAGAATACTAATTAGGATGAACCATGGTATAATCATGCTAATTAAGATGAACAATTATATAATGCCACATGTGTTTTATCAGATATAAAGTCACTCCACGTGACATATTATGGCTGACATGATTTGCCACAAGGTTTATGAATTATTAATGAGTATTTTAAATAGTACATACAATACCAGAATATTATATATACCCCCCCCCCCAATCTCCGCCCTAACCCCACCCACCCCAAGAACAAAAAAAATAAAGTCAAGTAAAGAGAATTAACTATAATGAAGTCAACATGGTTCTCAAAGGACAGTTTCGCAATACTATGCTTAAATTGACGGAGCGAAGTCGCTCTTTTTGAGTCTAATGAAAGATTATTCCGCAGCATTGATGCGCTATATTTAAACGGCTTCGCTTTAAAAAATTAGTTTTTGGTTTTGGAAGTGCTAGATCCGTTTCCTGATTTCGTAAATCATTGCCTCTATAAAGTTCTCTAAGTCTAAGTCTTACGAGGCTTTCTCTTAAACATGGCGAACAATTTTCATTAGGACTTTATACATTAGGATACTCTTCAACTTAGCCCATTTAACATGTAGACTATCCCATGCATCCTAAACCTTCCAAAAGATCACTTGATCCATTTCTATCATCATATATCTTGCCCCAGTGATAACTCTAGCCGCACGATTTTGTAGTATTTACAATTTACCTTATCTTATCCCACAGGGGAGAGCAACGATCAAAATATGGCAGAATTAATTAATGATTTGTACAATGAAACAAGACAACTCACTCCGGGGAACAAATGGTTTAATTCTCCTCAATGCTCCTATGTCTGAACAGATCCTTCTTGCATATATTTCTTCATATAAGTATAACAGATCTTCTTGTACTATTTAAAACATGATCAGCAGTGTTTTTTCAGATATAAAGATACGAGGCGAAGCCGAGTATCTTTAGGTCTGATAAAACACGCACTGCGAATGTTTTAAATTGCTTCAAAAACGATCGATCTAGTAATTTCATTGGCGAAGTAATTCAGTTTCAAAAAATACGTTTTGTAAGTCGAGAAAATCAAAGTTAAAGTTTATGTAAATCAAGGGAAATCTCTATCACATATAAAGATACGACACGCTTATGATTTTTCTTTGTGTACCATGAACTATTAATGAGTTTTTTAAAGATATGTACATGCATATATTCAAACTCAAGGCCAAGGATTATTAAATCCAATGGAACAAGACCTATACAAAAATTTACTAAGACTATATAAGAGGCAGTTTGTTTTTCAATACCAAGATTTTGTTGGCATCTCACTGGACTGAATAATATTTCTTGGGTATTGTAAATTGGAGATTGTCGAGTGAAAATTTAAATACATTTATTAGCCGACCAGCCTCGAAAAATAGTGCAATTTTATCTTTAGGGCCGCAGGTATAGGGACCTATATTTATACAGCAATATACACAAAACTTACTGAACTTCAGACATCATTTTCTCTTTGGCGTACCATCTAAAATCTCTTCATTTTAGCATTATGTACTATTTAAAAGATGAGCAGCAGTGTTTTATCAGATATAAAGATACGAGGCGAAGCCGAGTATCTTT